CATCCACATTATAGAGCCCCATAAAGGCCTCCAGCATTGCGGGGAGAGCTTGCCCTTGTTTCATAAAGGGGCTCTAAGTTTATTTCTAAAATCGTCTATTTATGGTCATCCCACAACCTACGGCTTTATGCATTCTAAAAAACAACACAAAAGCATTACGCGATTGATACATGTCCAATTGCCCAATGCAAGACGGGATCCAAGATCACGACACGCTCGTTCATCTTTTTTTTAGATTTGGCGCGGGATGCCACCGGAACTGCGACAGCCAATCTCAAGAAATTGCTTCCCGCGCGATTGCTCGAGATTGGACAAACTTCTCCCGCAATTAACTCCACTCTTTGCTCTCTCAGAGCAAACGCTGGAGTGGAGGCAACTTTGTATTCGCCTCCTCTAGAGTCCAAGTCTAAAAGAACTCGGTGGTTGTTTTTTTTAGTTTTAAGTAATATTGAATTTTTGACAGTAACCGTTGGTTATCGGTGTTTTTTGTTTTCGTTTTAATCGATTTTGTATGTTTGACGTCGGCGGATTTTATGGTTCAAACCTGCAGATGTTTCGTATGACACGGGCGGATGTTTCGGTTGGAACCAGAAAGTCTATGGCCTACACATAACTTAAACCACAGACGACAGCCAAAAAAATTAAAAAGGAAAAGGGGGGGGGGGGGGGGCCAAGACAATTGGATTGCCCTGCGGCGAATTTGGCAAAGAGTGCATTTTTTTTAAAAACAGTTTATGAAAGTTCCGGTTACAGGTGTAGCATAGCAGACAACGCGACTGATTCTCTCCCGGCGACTGCGTAATTTATGGTGACGTACTCCATCATTTTGGTACCTAGTCTGCCGTTGACGCCGTCTACCGAGCTTACGACCAGTGCGGCTCAATACTAAAAAGAAATGTAGGTTTGTGCGTTTACTACGAAACGTCTAAATTCTCGATAAAGCACGCTTACTTAGAACAGGCATCTTCGTGCAGATAGCAACATTCAGGTGTAAGTATACCTTCTAACCAATACAGATATAATATATATCTAACCAATAATCAATACAGATTCAATCGTCACAATCAGGAATCCTAACATCTATTAACGAGATTAAACAGAACCAAGAAACAATGAGGGCCAACATCTCAGACATCAACTCGAGGCTCCTTGCAGTCGAATCCAGCGCCTCTGTTGTAGCACAACTTCAAACAGCAGTAATCGACGCCAGAAATGTTGCTGATGGTTTACAAGGCGAAAATATTGCGTTGCGAGCACGTCTTGACGAGGCGGAAGATCAGTCCCGTCGAGACAATCTGATATTTTTTGGGGTTACTGACACCATATCAGAAACTTGGGCCCAGACGGAAGAAAGAATGTTGAGCGTTTTTCGAACGTCCCTTGGCATGACAGTTACGGGCGACTCTATTGTTCGGGCTCATCGTCTCGGAAGATTTTATCACGAAAAATGACGACCTATAATTATAAAATTTTCGTCATTTAAACTGCGGGACCAGATCCTGATGGCAAGACAAGCATTAAAAACGCACCGTATTACGGTTAGCGAAGACTTTTCGCTTGCTACGCGTAATGCGAGAAAAAGACTGTTAGAATTTGGTAAATCTAAGGGAGGAACGTTTAAGCTTAGGCACAACAAGCTGCACATTAACAACCGGTGTTACGCTTTCAACTCGACAAATGGCGAAGTCTACGAGCTAGGTCCTTCTAGTTTGCCTATTGTCTCTCCCGCACAGCCGACAATTCCCCAGACACAGTCATCTCTTACTCCAGATTCCGCTGAGGCGCGCTCGCCAACGTAGGATTTGTCGAGGGGTAGAGCTAGGCTGTCACAGTTTTCCGACGTCTCTGTTTTGTTTACTAACATAAGGAGTGTAATAAAAAAACGTGATGAATTGTGTTCCATCATTGATTCTACCGATGCTGATGTTGTTGTTCTAACCGAAACATGGCTTTCTGGGAGGATACGGAACAGTGAACTGTTTGATGGTTCAAAAAAGTTCAATGTGTATCGGAACGATAGACAGGACAGGTGTGGCGGTGGCGTCCTGATTGCAATTGCTGACCATATTAAATCTTTTTCATTAAACATTGCGTGCGATATAGAACTAACCTGGGTCGGCCTTGTTTTGAACCATAAGAAGTGGATCATGGGAGTATGTTATCGGCCACCCTCATCTTCGTCGTCATTTGTTGAGACTTTGCATAACGCCATTAACAGAATAGTGATGCGGTATCCCAGCGCACCCATCTTCCTTCTGGGTGACTTCAATTTTCCCGCTATATCATGGTCAGATGACGTTCATTGTATGAATGTACACACTACAGAGTGTAATTCGTTCATTAACTTGTGTCTCGATTTTAACCTGTCGCAATTAGTTCTTCATCCCACCAGAGTGTCTCCGACGACAGCAAGTGTTTTAGATCTAATATTGGCTACTCACCCTGAACATGCAAGTGACATAACTTATCTTCCAGGGATCAGTGATCACTCTATGTTACATTTTCATTTCAAAACGTCGGTATCTAGGCCGACTGACCGACGAAAGAAAATACGCGATTACAGTAGAGCGAATTTTGATCAGATTAACAATGATCTTGCGGTTTTCTTTGACCAGTATTTGACAGACTTTTCGGGCCGCTCGGTTGACGAAAACTGGAATTTGTATAAAGATAAGGTAATCTCCCTTATCAACAAATACGTGCCGCTCCGAAATATACTTGAAAATAATCAGTCACCTTGGTTCACGAAAGCCCTGAAGAGACTGTCAAATAAAAAAAAGCGCTTGTACCGTGCGGCCAAGTTTTCCCAGTGTGAGCGTCGCTGGGCCGCATATCACAATTCTGTAGAAGTGTACAAAAAAGCGATTGAAGGCGCTAAATCTCACTTTTTCACACATAGTCTTCCAGACATGTTGGTAAATAACCCCATTAAATTTTGGAATACTGTTAACAAAAAGGACCGTTTTTCAATTTCTCTTACAACTTCTAGTGGTGACAGCGTGCCCAGTGACGAAATAGTATATTTATAAAATCTTTCTCCGATATTCGCAACATAACTTACCCTTCGATGAGCTGTTCCTGTTATCTGCCAATGGATTCTATCTTTGTTGATTCTGCTGGTATTGCAAAAATTATAGATGAACTGAAGTTATCATCCTCATCAGGAGTGGACGGAATTAATTCCAAGTTTTTAAAAAACACTAAACTATACTCATCTCTTATTCTCTCAAAATTGTTTAAACAGTCGCTGCAAGATGGTATTTTACCTTGTGATTGGCGAGTGGGGAAGGTGGTTCCAATTCCGAAAGGTGGCGATAAGTATTCCCCTAACAATTATCGTCCCATTTCATTAACCAGCATACCATGTAAACTTCTGGAACACGTTATCTTTTCCCAACTCGCACATTTCCTAGAGTCGAATAATTTTTTCACCGAAGCACAGCACGGATTTCGTAAATCATTATCTTGTGATACTCAGCTCCTATCCTTCACTCATGACATTCATTCTATTCTTGACCGAGGCTCCCAGGTGGACTGCACTTTCTTAGATTTCGCCAAGGCATTTGATAAGGTGTGTCACGAGCTATTACTGTTAAAACTTTCAAAACTTAACATTGACCCTAACGTTCTCGCATGGATTCGGTCTTTTCTAAATAACCGTTCACAATTTGTAACAATTAACAACGAAAATTCTCCTCCCGTGTCTGTGAATTCTGGAGTTCCTCAAGGGTCGGTTTTAGGCCCACTACTATTTTTAATCTATATTAACGATCTTCCCATTAATGTGTCTTCATCCGTTTGTCTCTTTGCCGATGACTGTGTAATTTACCGTGAAATCTGTCACGATTCTGACCTGTCTACACTTCAGTCTGATATTAACTCTGTCTCTCGTTGGTGTGAATTATGGCTAATGAAACTTAACACTAGTAGATGTAAACAAATGAGAGTGTCCCGCAAGCCTAACAATAGTCCCTGTTACCACCTAGATGGCAACCTTTTGGAGCAAGTGGCAACGTACAAGTACCTTGGTGTTCACTTAACAAATAACCTTTCATGGAAACCCCACATTCAATATGTTACTACCCGTGCTAACTGCATGTTGGGCAACTTAAAACGCAACTTTTCATTGGCACCTATTTCACTAAAATTGATCCTCTACAAAACATTAATCAGGCCTAAATTAGAATATGCAGCCTCCATCTGGGATCCCGGTCACGATACTCTAATCACTGCATTGGAATCCATTCAGAATAGGTCAGCCCGTTTCATTCTTTCCAACTACCATCGTACTGCTAGTGTCACATCAATGAAAAATAGTTTATGTTTACCACTTCTCTCCTTGCGACGTAAAATTTCACGCCTATGTCTATTTCATAAAATGTATTTTCATAACCCTCTCCTACGCAATCGGATGATTACCCCCCCCCCCCTTTTACATTTCATCCCGTCTTGACCATCAGCATAAAGTTGGAGTTCCAAGTTCGTTTACCACAACATTTCAATCTTCTTTTTACCCCGCACAGCCGAGGAATGGAACCACCTCCCCGGTTTGATTGCTACTATAACTGATACTAACTTGTTTAGAAATTCCATCACTAGCTATTTTAGCAGTGACCCATGACCTATTAATATTATTATTCTTTGTTTGTTGTATATTTAATATTGTTGACTTGTTACTATACTACTATCTTTGTTTCATGTATGTGCTCTCCCCCTCTGTAATGCCTTCGGGCCCTGAGGGTACTTTCAATAAATAAATAAATAAACCTCCAGCCAAATGTAAAGCCTCGGTCACAGTTCTAGTAGATCATCCTAAAGGCAGTCTGCAGATCGAACACCGCGTCCTTTGTACGATGCGTGAACAGTTTGACTGCGGTTTTAGGTTAACATGAATGCAGTTTTTCGTGTGCACCTGTTTCTCTGGAGTTCAATTCAAATTGCTGATCCTAATTCACCCGGAAGTTTATAAATACGCGCGAATCCCGAACGAAATTACTTACTTTCGATCTTTACAGTGCGGAGGTTATCGGGAAATCCGGCGACAGCCCCGTCCAGCCATTTCTCCAGATCCTCGGAGAAAGTTCGCATGGCCCGAGACACGCTGAAGTTAAAAAAAGAAGACAGTGGGAGTATGAGCTTTGAGCGCAGAAACCACATGAATCGGCTCAGCATCTTGCAAACAAAAACGTGTTCTATTGACAAAATATCAACGTGTGAATCGAGGTATATAAAAAAAGTCCACGTGAAGCTAAAGCTACAGTTTTTGCCATCATTGTCAACACAGGCGGGTTACGAAGCTCCTTTTTAAATATGCTTTGCATCCTGTTGATTTTTCGTGCCATTATATTTGATTGATTGATATTTAAATGTCATTCTAAACTGAGGAGAGTGATGATGCACTGTTGTTAGTCATTATATTTGATCGACTGACATTATAATTTCTTATTCACTAGACTTGATTTGTTCATATTTACAGCTAGTTGAACACTGAAGCTGCGGTCAGACTTCTTATACATCATACAAACAACAGTGTGCAGATTTTCTGAGACCTATTTATTGCTTGTATGACCGTCTTATTGATCATGCAAAAATTTTATTTAGTCGTTTTCGGAGCATGAATGAAGCAGGCTTGCTTGAAACATGCTTGAGTCGTGCCTTCAGGTAATCATGTCATCATCTCTGCAAGGAACACAGTGTCTTTTTGTATGATTTAAGAGCCGTGTCACTTAAGAGAAACCCTGATACGCTGCTTTTAGACACTGACAGCGCCGATGCAGTGCCGACTTAAACGTAACTTAGCATTCATGCGGCGCTGTATCAGTGTTCTATCACTAATATAGCGCCAAGTCAGATCCGCCCCAGCAACGTCGGCGCTTTTTCCAGCGCCGAATGACGAAGTGGTGCTGTGCTACACGCGTGGAAAGGTCCTTTAACGGGAAAGGGAAACCAAGTGTAGAGCAATGAGTGGCTTTGACGCCACACTGAAGCGGTGGCGGGGCTGTCGTCACGGCACATGCGCAGTCGGTTCACCTCGGGCAAATCTGGCTTTTGCGCACGCGCCGTGCCCACAACCGGCGTGGGCATAAGCGGACTTGTCCGTAAACAACGTGTCGGTGTTGAGTCCGCCGAGACGCACGACTCTCCCTATACGCGAGCGCGCGTTGCCATATGGGCCCTCAAGCGAGGAATCGGGCGAGCCGCATTTCGACTCGTTGTGTTTCACCGCAGCGGGAGCGACATTGGAAGGGAAGTACTGCGGCTGACGCGGCTCGGAATATTTCATGATCGCACTGCCTTATTGCTGCAGTAGTAACGTTTCGACCGCGAAATCCCCCCGCGTTTATCGGGCGGCCCAATCCACCCGCGTACATAGGTCCCTTTGGAAAGTGCGCCATATTTAGTAGCTGCTCCATCATTTATCCGAGCCCTCCATTATTTGGGCACCTATACATCATGCATTGGACAGGAGAGCTCCGTTCAGTGTTTGGCCTAAACTTGGCTTAACTCATAACGAAAACGGATGCTGCGTCTGCTTTCGGTGAGAGTTACGTCCAATCATAGGCTTTGTGCCCAAAACGTGGATGGATGGATGTTGGACGGATGTTAATGGCTATATATACCATTTGCAACGGGCGGTAGATTGCGCCATCCAGCCTAAGTCTAAAAAAAGACAAACAACAAAAATGGCAACTGCCAATATTGCTCGATTTGGTACCGAAAACGGGTGGGTTTTAAAAAGGTCTAACGAACCGCCTTCAAAGACCCACCAGGCAAGCTTGGTGGTTGCTATTTTTTGGGCATCAAACGTGTGACTGTAGCCGAGTTCCCGACTAACGCCGACGCAGAGCTCGTGCCCAGCACATGAGTACGTGCCCGAACAATGGAGGACTCTAATATTTGGCGCAGTTGCTACTGGATGGCGCACACTTTCGAAAACGGAGCTCGCTGCGAGCGGTATCGAGAGCCAGCGGGGACGGAGGGTACCTGTCGGGCATCGGTTGCAGGAGCGGGGGCAACAGCACCCCCGACAGCGCCCCGTAGAGGAGGTTGTCGCACACTCCGACCAGGTTGATGAGCGCGTTGCTCGACAGCACCGACACCAGGTGTGGCGGGATGCCGTGCCAGAAGTGGCTCAGGTAGTGGGGCACCTGCGAGAAGACGTGCTTCCTGTATACCTCCTCCTCTGGCCGACCCGGAACGCGTCTCCGACTGGTGTTTGACCGAAACCACCTTTACAGTCTACTCCACCTCACGTTGAAGACTACCCAATCAATATTTTGCTGCAGCGTAACGTATATTTTTAATAAAGTAAAAAAAAAAACGCAATTGCTCGAAACCTAAACAGAAACTTAACTAGGGAGGAAAATGAAATGTAAAGGGAGAGAGTTGGGCTGGAAGTCACGTGGCTGTGCTCGACCCCGTTGTTTTTCTCCCTGCGTTTCTTTTTTTTTTGGCGTGATTTAGACAAAAAAAGCGCACGTCGGACGTTGCGCGAGAAAAGGGAAGCCAAGCACTTCGTGCTTGATGACTGTGCGTTTTTCAACCTCTTACCAAATTGTACTCGTAAGACAGGCAATGTCTTCAGCCAGGAGATGGGGCGACGACTCGGGGACGTCTTCGTGGAAATCAGCTTGGTGGTCGGGCGTGTCGTACCGAATAAATCGTTGTTTTGATCGGTAAACGATTTTTCTTTTTCGAAGCCAGACAGATTTTCTGTTGCCGCGAACAACAGTTCTGAAGTAGAGGTGCACCGCTTGTCGTACGCCGCCATCGTTTAGTCCAATTCGTTCAGCCGTCCACCCCGCGATTCCCGCAATACGACGCCATGTTGAGAATTACGAAGATAATGCACGAAGTGCTTCCAGTTTTCTTTTTTTTTTTTCTTTTTCCTTTCCAATCAACGTATTTGCAGATTTTTAGAGGCCACAATAAATGGGTATCATATTTTGTCTGTACTTTTAATATTGAGTGCGTGCCTTCGATTACCACGACTTCGATTATCTAAGGTGTTTGTGTCTAAATCATAGAAAACGGTACGTGACCACGGAGAAGAGAGTGAGCGCGACTCAAACCGGCCAGAACTTGGTCTGTGGCTTTTGGATGGACAGGAAACGAATATCGAGCCGCAAATTGTGTTGTGGGTAGTGGGGCTCTCATTTGTCACGTACAAATGAAAACCTTCGCGAGCATAATTACAGTGTCCCTCCGACCGACTACAATCTGATGAAGCCAAAAAACCAGTGCCAAAGGTGCACCGTTACGGCACTCGTCGTCTTTGTGCGTCTGCTGCATCGGCTAAAGCAGTCACGCAAAAAGAAAAAAAAAAAAAAAAGATTCCCTGCTGTTGAGGCTACAGTTATTCAATTGCTGTTGAGGTCACGTGACATCAAATTTCTGGCTAAATCTAGCTGATAAACTGAATTTGTTCATAGGTGACGTGACACCGGGTCATGTGATGTTATTTTCCTCGCTACATTTAGCGGGAAAACTGAATTTGTGTTGAGGTAACGTGACGTCAATTTTACCGCTAAATTTAGGGCGGTTACGCCGACGCCGACGCCGCGAAACGCCGAAACGGGCGCCTAAGAGCTGTGCTCTAAAAGAAACGACCTACAGAAAGGTCACGCCTGACGTGCCATAACAACTCGCATCTGTCAAAAAGATGCAACCATGCCGGCTGCATGAAAACTGGTTGGAGATGAGTTTTCGAGTACAGTTTCTATTCAGTTTTAATCTGTTTACGCAAGCTCTGAACTCTAGCAGTCGCCCGTCGATGGAAGCTTTCAGCGGTCTCGAAGCCAGATCGACCGAAAGACTCAACCCTATACTCAAGAGCCAAGACAGCTGGGAAACTCTACTCTGCCCCGATCCAAAGGTGCAGGAACGTCTTGTCCAACTGGCCGAGTACGCCGCCGGGACCCAAGGGGTTCGGGCCGCCGTCTGAGGGGTGGGTGAAGGGGTGGCCTCGAAAGGTCTCCCAACCAGCTGCTATACTTTTTGTGGCAAACAAAGATTGTTTACTACTACTACTACTACTGCGGTCTCGATTGGTGTTAATGCAAAATGGATCAGTAACGCCATCCAAAATCAAGTTGTGGCATAAGAGGCGTGACAATATCAAGTTGTAACATAACGTTTGCTACCTTTTTGGCGGTAAGTGTGGCGCTTCTAAATTGCATTATGCAATGATTTCACATTTCAATGAAAAAAAAGAAAAATTAAGGCTGCTTTCGAAGAAGTTGTTCTATGTCAAGTGATGCATATCGGTAATCGCTGCTCCTTTTTTTATTGATGGTCCTGATCTTCTGAAGCACAGATGTGCTTGAAACATTTCGTCGCAATAACAGTTACAACCCCAAAAACGCATGAAGCAAAAAGTGTATTTAAGAGGGCCACTGCAAAGCGGTGCAGATAGACCAACTGGTAGACCATCTACAGAGCGAGTGCTCAAGAAGATTCCAACGTTCGGAACACTTCGGCACGCCCTTCTAGGTCCCGTGACCTGTGATCTTGCAGTCCTAAACTAACGAGCAGTGGGGTGGATATAAAGTATGAAGCAGATCACTAAACAAATAAAAAAACTCTCTTTTCTGCCGCTTGGTCCGGCTCTGTTTATCTTTCTTAGCCACAATTTTGGGGGTTACTTTGTTCGGGAAGACATCAAATCTGAAACTTTTTTTTGCCAGGTGCTGTTATTGCAGCATCCTGGCACACAACACGTGATGCCACCCATCCAATATCGTGCGTAAACACCCAAATAAAAGTCTCGTGCTAATCAGGAAATTTCAAAACACCGGGCGTACAACGCGCATTGGCGCGGTTGGAAAACTGGGGAGACCTACAGGTACCAGAATGCACCGCGGCAGCGGTGGCGTCGCGCAACTCCTGGTGAGGTCTGGCTGTTGCTAAGTTGGCGCCAACCTACTATGATGACGTTCTGTGGAGGAAGAGGAGGACGTTCTCCGGCCTTGAATAATCTAGATGGTGTGGGTCATGTCCCCCCTTACTGACCTTTAGTGTTGGCGGTAATGCGTTACATTTTTCGGTAACGTTGATAACGCACATCGCTAACTTCATAACGGATAAC